CTAAACCCTAGATCCTCAATCCTAAGCCCTAAATCCTCAATCCTCAGCCCTAAATCCTGGACCATGAACTTGTGGCTTCAAATTAGGACTTTCCCTTCGACCCTACTGCCTTCCAAGCTCGCACAGTCAGTGGCGACGAGGAAGGTTTGTGGGCAGTGCCTAGGCTTTGGGTTTAGGGTTTAGGGATTGGGGTTTAGGAATTAGGATTCAGGGTGTAGGCCTTGTGGTCTAGGGTTCAGGGTTTAGGGTTTAGGATTTAAGGTTCAGGGTTGAAGGTTTATGTCTAGAGTGGGGATTACCTTAAGAAGGACCCAATTCGGGTTTACTTAGTTCTTGCTAAGGTACGATTTCAGTCACCAGGCATTACTTGGAGGTTCAGGGCAATACATTGTAATCCAAGTAGAACTGTACTGTACAACTTATAACCCTAAACCCCGAAACCCTAAACCCCTAAACCCTAAACCTCTAAACCCTAAACCTCTAAACCCTAAACCGTTGGCACCCCGAACTCTTAGGCCATTAGTACAGTCGCCAGTTCATATTTTGCTGAACGCCCAAAAATACTCGAGCGCTATGCGAAATGTTTTTGGCCCAGATAAGGAGCCAATGGAATGTCCCATAGCATATATCTCACCGAAAGAGGTGTGGAATAATTACTGTCAAGTTGGTCGGTCCCGTCGCCGCGCTTGAAAGCCGGCGTAATTAATAATTTGTATACCCCATGTTCTGGCTAAGGATCCAGGCGTCGTTCTCGTTCGGATCGTCTGCAGACTGCTTGCATAAACCCCTAAACCCCTAAACCCTAAACCTCAATATGGCTATGGTTTTGCTTGAAGGAATTAGGTGAAGAGTCAGGAGCCCTACCTTCTGTAATCTGCAGGTTGCGCGTAGAATCTTCTGGCTTTTTGCAACTCCGGAAATCACGTAGGGTTCAGGGTGTAGGGTTTAGGGTTTAGGGTATAGGGTGTGGGGGTTAGATTGGCATCTACATTGGGGCCCCTGAGACTGTGATACAATGCCGCTGTTGGGCCGGTTGGGTTGTGGATGGAAAGCTCGGAGCCATTGCGTGCGCAGACCTTGGCTCCTAAGTTTCAGAATATGGTCCCCCTTAAGCAGATCGAATATGGCTTTGGGTATATTAAGCAAGATCCCCATATGCCCCATATTCTATCTACTTAAGGGGGACTATAGGTTCAAAGTGGGGGGAAGCCAAGGGCGTTTCTGAGAATGTTAACTATGCCACAATCCTAGAACTCTCATGCCAGCACCACAAAATCATGCTCTGAAATCCATAGCCCCTTACAAGCTCGGAACACAAAACATCCACCCCTAAACCCTCCTTGATGTTCAGGGTAAGTAAAACCCACTGAAAACTTGTACTTACTAGCCTCTTTTCAACCAAGTCATGGATCTCATACCTTGCTTATAAGTACAGCTATCACTAGGTTATGGGTACCCTGAACCTCCATGTAAACCCTGAACTCACCGTAGCTCCCTAAAACCTAAGCTCTAAACCCCAACTTTTTCTAAACCCTGAATCCTAAGCCCGAAATCCTAAGCCCTAAACCTTAAATCCTAAACCCTGAACCCTAAATCCCAGACAATAAGCCCTAAATCCTAAACCCTAAGACCCCCAGCCCTAAACCCCAAACACTAAATCCTAGACCCTAAGCCTTAAACTACAAGAAAATAAGCCCTAAACCCTGAACCCTAAACCCTAAATCCTAAACCCTAAACCCCTAAATCCTAAACCTTAAACCCTAAATCCTAAGCATTAAGCCCTAAGCCCTAGACCCTAAACCTCTCAGCCGAGGTTTTGGCTACCAACTTCCTGACAGGGCGAATGGGCCACGACTTGCTTTCACATGGGCAGGGCAAGCCTTTGGGACTCATGGACCCTTGGTTTAGGGGTTCAGGGTTCAGGGTTTAGGGTTTAGGGTTTAGGGTTTAGGGGTTTAGGGTTTAGGGTTTAGGGGTTTAGGGTTTAGGGTTTAGGGTTTAGGGCATGGTGGGTTTAGGATTTTAGGGAGCAGAGGCCCGAATAGGGGGTTTAGTGTTCGGGGTTTAAGGTTCTAGAGTTCTAGTGTTCAGGGTCTAGGG